GGAATCCCATCGGGGCCGGTCGCCTTGCCCACCTTTAACTTCCCTATCATATTCACGATCGTCTCCTCGGTGATGGAAATATCCTCGATGCGAGCCGAGGTCACCTCCTCCAAAGTCGGTGCCGAGTCGGATTCCACAGTGAAAACGGAAGCGAAGAACTCGTTAAGTATACTGGCCGTATCCTTATCGCTTGCAATCGACTCCCTCTTTTCGTTCATTAGCGGCCCGATCGACTGTCGACACCTACCACTAGCATACCGATAAAAAGCCTTAGGGTTCTTCTTAGCATCGCTAGCCAGCCGTTCCTCTCGCTCCCGTCTCGCAGATCGAATTTCCCGCTTCGACTTCCGCGTGATCCTCCTATATTCCTCATGGTCCGTGCTATCTCCCGTCCGCTTGTACGCATCCCATTTCCGCTTTTTATCCCCGATGAGAGCTTTGATTTTACCCGTAAACTAGACCGGTTGCCTGCCCGATTTTATGGATTTCTTGGGGATGCATTCCTCCATAAAGCCCTGCAATAACGTCTTGAACACCCCCCACTGCTCCTCTACCGTCAGCCCACGGAGCCGCGCCTCCCAGTCGATGCCCGAAACGCATTCACGTAGTCTCTCGAAATTTGCCTTCTTATAGTTGTACGAAACCTTCCTCGGTTTGGCGTTACTCTTCGTCCGCTTGATATGCCACGTGATCGCGCAGTGGTCCGAATCTCCCAAGTTATCCTGTACCTTAACGTCTCGTGCCAGATCGTCGTTCGTCGCAAAAACTAAATCCATTAAAGCTTCCTCGCGAGTCGGCTCATTTACGTACCGAACGAGAAGAGCGTCCTGAACCACAACGAGAAATTCCCTATCCCTTTCGCACCTTTTGCGGCACCGACCAATCTATTTTTGGCATGTTAAAGTCTCCGAAGAGCAATACCTGCTTCGAGATCTCGCCCTTCACTTTCTTCTTGGTTAATGCATGACTGCTCTCTGAGCAAGCGCCTTGCTTGGTATTTTGCTCGGTAAAAGGATGAGAAGATATTTAAAATTAGTTATTTGCATAACATTAGCACATACACTGGATTACTGGTACCTGGTTTACTAAATCAGGCTTAGAATTATTCGGTACTCAGAAGGCATAAAACTTGTAATTCAGTGGGGTGGGGGAGGGGAGAGGGAAATAAATCCGGGTTCCTCCGCTGGGAACCTAAAAGGTTCACTTGCGGCCCGCAGTCAAAAAGGTTGCTCATCACTGGTCTAGGGTGACAATTTTGGAAACATCCTGATTGCAATAATGCGACATGAAGCGTTCTCGCACGCCCTCAGCCCAGTAACGCCTGCAGTGACCAAGCAGTTAAGGCTCTTTCTTGTCTCTTCCATCTCAACTACAGGCGCCAGGGCTGAGGAGGGGGGGGGGGGGCATCGAGTGAATGTTTTTGCACAACCACGATGTTTCCATACTTATTACACACCCCATCTAGGTCATAATTGCCATTCTGGTGCGAATTCCATTTGCCAGTTTTTTTTTTAATAGTCTTGAGAGGGAGGTGAGATCTCTTACGTTTCGGATCGAGACCCCAATGTACTTGTCCTGGTTCTTCCGAACCCCCTCGCCTTGCATGAAGGCCGACACGATTGGCAAGTCCTGCTGCATGTGGACCGTGGCACTCCATGCTTCTTCGGTCTTCCCTCTCTCTCCATCCTCTCTGTCGATAGCCTTTTCCTGCCTCTCGTGAACTTCAATGAGGAACATGAGATCGTTAACACGAGATGTCAAATGAGTCCTCGTAAGGAGAACCTGGTTCGAAGAAAGGGGGACGGACTCAAGCGGAGATAGAGTCCGTGATAGGATCCGGAGAGTGCGATGGGGTTCCCAAAGAACGTTAGACACTTCCCGGAAATCGTGTCCACTTCCTTGAACTTTCCTTCGTCTTCGCACTCTTTTCCTCGCCCTAGATAACACTGAACGTACCACATCCAGTGAGCTCGAGCGTTCTTTGAAGTTCTCAAATGTTGTGACTGGTCGCTCGTTCTAGGTCATTTTCCTTTAATGGCTTACTCAGGAAAGGAGGCAGTGGCGTGCCCACCGCAGATGGAGGTGGGGGCTGCCTCAGCTGTCTTTGGGAATGGATGGGATGGGACGCAGTGGGTCCAGAACAGGGGAGAAATTATACAGAGGGGATTTTTGTACTTAGCGTTTCGTTGCTGTCGTGATCGATGCGGGCATGCAGGATGAGATTTAATATGGAGTAATATTTAATATGGATGAGATTTAATATGGAGTAATATTTAATATGGATGAGATTTAATATGGAGTAATATTTAATATGGATGAGATTTAGTATAAGTTTTTTTCTGTTCAACATGACATCATCTGAGTAGCCGTGTAGCAATTGGGGTTGAAGGACCACAACAGCAACATTCCATATATGCGCTAGCGAATATAGGGGATCGTCCCCTCCTGATTCCTATGTAGGAGTTGCGTTAAAAAAGTATTGATCACCAAGGTGCGGCTCCTCCATCTTTCTAGCAGCAGTGTTGTTATGTTGAGTTCATTAATAGCGATGTTTATTTTACAACTGTGAAATTTCAGCTTCGTATCGATGTCATCAACATTTTTTACTGACTTATAGTAAAGTTGCGTAATTAACTGATCAAATACTGCTAATTTTCCAAAGAAAGAGCTAGTGGCTCTCTCGGAATTGCTGCATCCGCCTGAGAACTGCGCTTGCTGGAAGGGATTCCACAGATTGCTTCCAAATCCGAATGAATTCACTGAACTTTTTTTTTAAATTGTATTATTCTAAGTCATAAATGCTTCCGACTGAGAACATGAAAACTTCGGTTTTCCCTAAAGATTTGAAAAGAATACCCGCCTTATCTAGGATTCCTGCTTTATCTAGGATATGCTAGTCCGTGTTACTGGCGGAAATTTTTACGACTTTTACCTGGAATACTACGGTTAAGGGCCCTATATTCATTAATCCGACCTTCAATGCCAGCAACTTTTCCTTGTTCGCGTCGAAAGAGTCTGTTTCCATCGATCCCCGGAAAATTCCGAGCGTAGAATTTTAAAGAAGCAACCCGTTACTTTTAGCTTGTGGCCAGAATCGCAGAGGACTCGACTGACCCCCAAAATTCCGAATCCGAAGTTGTAGTCAAAAGTGAAATTCTGTTTACGCTGATGCTTCTTCACCCCGTCGGGAAAATATGCACGAAGATGATCCAAATTCCCCACATCGAACTGGCAAGATGAATAATAATTTCTCTTTCCTCGCGAAGGTAGAGGGAAGAAACCGAGTCGCGATCTTTTCAATCGCAATGGAACCAGCTGAAGTAGTTCATTTCAACCTTCCATGCTCCGAAATGTCACGGGTTGATGAGGGCAAGCCCCGAACTGATAAGAAACTTCTTTAAAGAAATATTCCGAGAGGAAACTAGCCATCTTCGGGCAATGAACGCTATAAAGAAATCCCTGGCATCCCTCGGAAAGAAACGAAAAATCCCCTCCTCGAAAGTAGAGCAATCGATTGTGATAACAAGAGGAATTGGACTCGACCGGACGATAAGAGAAAAGACTTTATTTACTTTTCTCACAGGGCGATTCCGGAGTTTCTTCGAAATTTTTCGGAAAATTCCGAGAAAGGCCATAAAGCTGCGGTTGGGGATTCCGGCTCCGGCTCCGATCTAAAAATTTTTAATCTGACGTCTGATAAAAGACACGAACCAGAACAGCCGAGCGAACGGCAGGGTTGCCGGATCGACTTCATCGATTTTCTTCTCCACTTTCACCTGGCATTTCACCTGGTGTCGCCGGGTTCGAGCGCGCGTATACGTGCATGGCTTTCCAACTGAAGACGAGGATCATATCTTAAACAAGAATTGAAAGTGCAGGAGAGTGAATTTCTGGGGTATATTCGAGAAGACTCCATGAATTGAAAGTCATGAGTAGCCTTCAATATAAAATTCCACGTAACTCTGAATTTCACGCGACGTAGAAAAAACGACTTCGAGCGCAAACGAAGACCGGCACGTGCCGATCAAGTAATACGTGGGATCTCAAAAATGCATGAGAGATCCCTTCTAGGTAAGGAATTAGGGATGCTGGAAGCGTTCAAGATATCGTCGGATGAGGATTATTTTGTTCTAAGTTTTCGTTTTTTTTTTTTTAGCCATGACGAATTCATTCAATTTAGCATCATCGACGAAATTATTTTCTGGTCGCGCATTGATTTAGGAATCCGTGGATGATACATGCGACTATGCAAATTGATGATAGCCTCTGTTTTACTGCTGTAAGTTTTGATGAAGGTCATGTATCGCGAACTTTCAGTTTTGGACAAGGAACGAAATAATCCTCATCCGACGACATCGCGATTCATGAAAAATGTCGGAAACTTTGATTTTATTGGGAGTTCACTCGGCTTCCGACTACCCGATGTTTAATGAGTTCCTTATTCAGCAATACTGGTGTTTTGGCTCTCGGGCACGACTTGCGATTACGGATTTCATTTTCTGCGGTATTAATATAGAGATTTTCTGCAGCTTTGGTCGGTGAGTTTGAGGCTTTGGATCCTTGCGTCGGCTGCATCGTGGAAACGGTGTTTCCTGTTTTCTCACTGTCATGCCGTTCTGAGAAAACCCAGAAATCGCTTTAAGTGTGAAAAGGAGCCATTCTTTCAGAATATTCCGATTCCTCGTATTTTTTATTATTAGCGGATTCGTAGTCGGAATGGGTTATTCCCACTGAGAAGGGAATTTTCGCGTCATACACTGAGGTGCTGGGGGGGGGGTTTCCGCCTCGTTCCTTCATTGCATTCGTTACTCGATTTACGGTGCACTTTCTGCAGTGTGGCGCAAAAGTCTCTCAAAAAAATTTCCTGGAAGCCCATCCAGCCATTCTGACAGGTCAACTCGACACGATCACCCCTAAAATCATGGCATTTTTGCCACTTCTGGTCACCGGATCTCACGCCCATGCATTTCTCGTGTGGGAACACGTTAAGCAACTTGCTTAAGGAACGCCCTTCTCCATAAGTGCTCCATGCTTAGGAGTTGAAAGGAGGATCGAGGAAGCGTTTGCGGCGCTTACGTGGGAAATTTGCCAAATCGCTTTGCTAATTCCAGCTCGCAAGTGGCAACAATCCCCCGATGTTGCGGGTGGCTCTGTTGAGCTGAGACAACCTGCCAGAGGGGCTTAAAGGCTTTTCAGAAAAAAAGGGTTTGATTTAGCAAGTAAAACTGGAAGTTTCCAGAACTTTGCCGTCATTACTATTCGAATAATTAATTGGCTTTGAAAATCCACGAGTCCTTTTGTATCTCACTGCACATGAGATTAAATTCAAAAAGATGATGACCCTCACTCCTTCCTCTCTCTTCCTTCACAGAGAGAAAGAGAGAGAGAGAGAGAATCAGATTCACCTGAGCAATTCGATTGCGCTCTAGACGTAATATGCCTCTCGATTCTTCGCCATCCCCCTGACAATTTGGATCCTCTGACTAAGGCAGGAAGCGTATCGTTTCAGAGCGGTTCCTTTTCCATTGGGAAGATGAAGCTCTCTTCTTCATTTCCCTCGAATCCGGCTGAGCAATTAACACGAAATGGCCTTCACTTCGGGAAATGGAACCTTTAATTCGCGTCGTATCAGATCCCCGTGATGTCGATTGGGAAAGTTCCGTTTCGTCGAGAGGATATTTATGCTACGATGAATTCATTGGAAATGCCATTTCGTGATTGCATGCTCGGAATTTTTTTAAATTACTATTGGAATAAGACTTTTCCCCTTGGACGAGGAAGAAATTCTTCGACTAAAAGTCGAATTTCGGACGTGCGACTCTAGCCGTAATGTGCGTGAGAAGAGAGTCCAAGTTTTCCGCCTGTAACACGGATTAACATTTTCTCGTTCACGGAGCTTAGAAGTGATTAAAAGCGGAGTGGGCTTTGATAGGTTCGGTCGAAAATGGCAGCCAGCCACAATTTATCGACCGATCAGACCAAGTGACTAACCAAAGGGCTCAACTTTGATAACTTCAATCCAATCATTTCAATCAATGAAATACTTAGCGAGAGGCAGTCGTACGCTGGCGATGATGCTCGAGATGTTGTAGGTTGCGAGTTCCCAAAACTCAGCGCCGCCGAGTTTCTCGGAGAGGATTCGGGTTGCCTTCCATATTCCGGGATATTTCGAAGCTCCGAATTCCCGATTCCACAAATCCTCGACTCGATTCCCGTCGAATCGGTCCACCGCCTCGCTAGATGGAATCGATTGCGATTCGAATCGTTTCACGGACTTCGAGTGATCGGGAGATTGGAATTGCGTTTTCGTACTCGATACTGCTGCAGATGGTGACCGCCGGGAAGTTGAGCGATTCGTTCCGGGTCACTTGGATCGTGACTGCGATCGGTCCGGATAAGAAGGTGAAGAGTCGGTCCAGGCATTGAGCCAGCATCAATCCGAAGCAGACGACCAAGATGAAGGCCCAGATCACCCTTCTGTGAAAAAGGGAAATCGGCATGAATCCTGAAAGCTGAAAAATTCGTATTTGAGATGATCAGAAAGTAAAAGATGGGAGAGTGAAATTTACCGTGCGAGATTAGATCCACGATCGAGGACGACGTTGAGGCCCGAGATTTCGATCTCCGAGGGGGAAATCCTGTGGAAAGTCCTGATGGGGCGGCTCCGTTCCGCTGGCTTCGTTTTGGCGGCGTTCCCCATTTCATCCGTGCCGATTTCCCGCGAGTTTTTGCTCCTCACGTGAGGACTGACGCAGACGTTAGAACACTTTGCGGTCGAAAGTCCATTCGAGTCTGACGCGGGGCGGCGGTCTTCGGCGCCTTTTCGACTGGCGCTAACCTGAATAATTTAGTCTCGAGAAGCTCATTATTGTCTTCATCCGTTCGCTAACTACTCCTAATCCCGCTTGAAGACCCGTCATTTTCGTGGCCGTGAACCCATTTGGCCCGATATCTCAACGTTTTGAACAATAGAAACCGAGCACAATGAAACATTCGCAATCATGGGGCACTTACGATTCCTTGTAAGGTTAAGCCTTTCGTAACTTCCTACCTACTCTGCTGCTGAAGCTACTCGCTTAAAAAAAAATTAAGTTACGCTTTTCGTTGCAATAATCGACTTACGTCGCAACTTTCGATAGCAAGAGAAGCGTAGTCGTACCTTAGTCTTAGCATTTTGTGATGAAAGGTTACCCAGAAGAGACATCATAATGATCATTATGATCATAATGAACATATTATGAATCTCATAATATGAATCTCGACCCTCCTCGCCAACGGCAGCCGACGAGACGACCGAGAGACATCTCATGTTCGCCGACTCTCGAGAGACATCTCATGTCAAAGTTCTTCGTCCCTTGCGTCTCTTTCGCCTTCGATCGCAATGCGGCGGGAAAATTACTGGGAAACTCGAACATACTGCTTGCTCGAGTGACGAAACCCGCTCGTGATAAGGCAAAAAAGAAAAACTGAACACGGAATGGAAGCAGAATCACGTGATTGGTCTGATCGCGTCCGGGTTGGTGGGTAAGGTCCATGACGTCATGGAATTCCAGCGTTTTTATTGGCCGCCATCTTCAGCTCTCTCACGCTCAGGCGCGGTAAGCATAAAATGCTTTTGGATTGAATTCGTACCCCCCCCTTCCTCCCGGGTAGTGAAGAACGGAGAAAGCAAACTACTTCTGGAGGATCTGCTTCCTCAGATGATCCAAAACCCACCATTGTGGAAGGTAGTCACTATCTGCAATCTACGGAAGCACTCCTAAGGGACTTACGAATTCAACCTGAAAACAGTGTACGACAGAAATGTCTACGTCGGAGCGCAATTAGTTTTCCGTTGAAACATTCACCAAGGTTAGGATTTTCGTAGGACTACGATAGTCGTAAAGCCTTTTTATGAACTGGCCCCCATAGTCGGATTTGCGGAACTATTGTTTCGTGTATAATTCGTAGCATCATGAGTGACTTTTTCAGCTCCTGGCCGAGGGAACGAGGTTCCGCAAGCTATCATAGAAGCTCCAGAACTTTTAGGCGATGGTAATGCTCCCTTTACACGAATCTGTATTGCGAGACATGAACCCTCGGGGCAATGCATTGACAGTCGAGGGATTCACACGCAACCGCCTGAGTGCATGACCTCATCGCCACTTCACCTTCCCTCCGACCCGTGCGAGTGGCTCGTGCGTCTCGAAGGGATTCCCATGTAATCGCTTACTTCATTCCTCGAGTCCAGTTTCATACGGTGTTTGTACCTATACACGCAGAATCAAATTAATGCATTTTCGTCGAGAAAAAAGTTGTCCTCCATGTGATCCATTTTTATCGCATCCAAAATTCGATGCAATAAAGACGCATCACATGCAGGACAGATTTTTTCGCGAGAAAAATGCATCGAACTGAGGCACTGAATTTTCTGTGTGAAGAGATAGGACTCATTTTAAAGCTTGTGCTTTTTGCCAAACATTCTTTGTTAACCACTGCGAAACAGGTATTAAATCCGCAGGAAAGCACTACAGCATCCTGTCTTTTATGCATAGCTGCGGGCAAAATCCAGCAAAAAGCAACCAAGTTGTCGCTTCAATTGAAAAAAAAATTCGTTGATCACTGCTGCGAAAAAAAAGTGCAGTTGCAAAAGTCAATATGCAAAACCTTGGCATAGAAGGAGCAGGAAGGAGCGACACGTCCGATAGAGAGAAGAGAGAGGAGTGGACTAAAGAGCACCCTTGGAGTTGTCACGAGTCAAATTCACGTCATGCATGTCCACCAGGAAAAGAATTAAATTAGGGCCCTTAACGGCCAATCACCTACATAAAAATTGGGGAAATAATGAAGGACTGCGGACAATAAGGCCTCGTTTCCTCGTCATCCCGTTCAGTCCATCCCGCGACAGCCATGTACATCCACGTCTCTGGATTTTCCTCCGCCACCTCTCCCCAAATCCATCCTGTCAGGTCTCTTCCCATCGCTTGCCTTCGTTTATTTTGATTGCTTGCATTCGTTTATTTGGCATGCGAAAGGACAGCTCGTCGTTACGACGCCGTTCGGTTGAGCGAAAGTAAGGTGACGATGTGCAAGTCTAGAAGTAGAGTTCATCTTATTTACTCTTCCTTACAAAATAAAGGTTAAAATGGTGTTGACAAGGGTCGAAGTAAAGGTTGACCCATGTTTTTGGAGGCGCCAAACTATGTTTACCTATGACCCATTTTATCTCCGGTTAAAATTTGTGGTATATTTATTTTATTTTATTAAAAAAAGGGCTACAGCATACTGCTGCATAGAAAAGGCTAACTGAATCCCTTCAAGCTACTCACGATCAAACTGATCAATCCAGAGGGAAATCTAATAAATTTTGTTAGGTACCCCCATCCTCCCAAAGATTTTTCTCATTAAGTTTCGCTTCGATTCTAATCAATTTTATTATATGTAATCGTATCGCAGAATACCGGGAGCAAAGTTGAATGTGCTCGTCCATGTCTGGCCCACCGGTGACCCTTTGTCAGCGTGTTGTTTCCTTGTGGCAGGCGGGGGATGTGGCGTTGTCTCCTGCTCGTCTGCACCGGTTGCACGATCTATTACGTCCTGGATCGCACGCTTCATCTCGTGAATCCCTCGACCACGACATTAATCGCGAAAAAGTTCATGGAATCCGTCCGCTATCCTAATCTCACTGTCTGTGCCAGGTCGTGAACACGATAATAATTACTTTTCTCCCGCAAAGAGGCTCGCCCGCATTTGGTCAGGAATGAGCTCAACTTTCAAGTCTTTTCATTCTTAAGGGATCCTCTGAACCACACCAAGATGTGGGAAATGTGGAAGAGTAAGGCAGGAGATTCGCCGGTTCCCGAAGATCTGGAGTTGGCGCTTCTGGATCGTGGATTCAATATAGAAGAAATTTGGACACAAGCTGGCTATTCTCTCTCTCAGTTAATCGTTAAGGTCCAGAAATCCCGTTATTCCAAATAAATCAGGCAATTTCATTGAGCATTCGACGGTCGCTTCCTTCTTATCCTTGCATTTGCTCTCCAACTGTGTGGTTTTCTATCGATACTCACAGTGTCGTTACCGAGGAGGGCAGGATTGCCTGAAGAAGGAATTTTGGACTCCCATCATGACTCTCTTCGGCCTTTGCCACACTTTGAAAGGTATCATTTCCAAACTCGACATTTTTTTACTCTGGACACGCATGGAAATTTCCTCCCTAGCGGCTCGTTTTTCAACCAAGTTTCACGTCTTCCTTGACAAAATTTGAAGGTAAAGTAACAAGGCAATGAGAGTGGTTTATGGACTCGTAACTTCACCGTTATCTTACCTTCAAAAGGAGTCTGTGTGACCCATAGAGAGTGTATAATGGAGGGGCCTCCCCTCTGGCGCGAGGCGCTGCACCCTTCCAGGCGCGGCCGCCATCTTACTGAAGTCGCACGAGCAAGGAGTTCATAGCAGACACATGGAGAGGGGGAGGGCAAAAGAGGGAACTTTCCCTGAGCCGGGGCCCAACTGGTTACGCTATTCATTCCCACGTGCGAGACTTCACCAAGATGGCGAAAGCACTTGTAAGTCTCGAGGCAGCGAAGGCCTCTCCAGAGACATCTATATACACTCTATGGTGTGACCAGACCCGCTCAAAGGTTTCCAGAGGCCCGGGGCTAAACTAAACCAGAGGACCCTTGGAGGTCACTGTATGGAAGGGGATGTCAGATGGGGCCTTTGGGACCTTGGCATTGGGTCTCATTAGAGGTCCCCTGAGGCCTCTTGATACGCGAGGCCCGGGGCAGAGTGGCTCCGATAACCCCCCTTCCCTCTGGGCCGGCCTGTGTGTGATTTCGTCTCTCTCCGTGCTGCAGCAAAGGCCCTTTTACATGGATTTTTCTCTGACACGAATCCCGATCGAGCGATTTTGACGCAAATATACCATTCTATAACTCGACTTCATTCCGACGATGACCATACAAATGTACAGCATGAGTCTATCGATCGACACGATTGCAACTGGTTGCAGCTCGTCTCAGAATAGCTTTATTCTCCATGAAGCCCAGAATAACCAGAGGAAGATGGAGAAAGGTAGCGAGAAGTTTAGAGCAGCAATTCGATCCAGTTTATAAGTTTCTTCCCGCTGCCTGCCAGTCTTTTCTAATTGGACGAAAGATGACGAGCTTGGGTGCACTTCCCATCCAACTTCTGACTTAAATTTTCGTACATATTTTGCCCAAGTGACTTACTCAGTAGAGACAGTTATCGCACTTACCGATTGGTACACTTCAAGCAATGTTTCCGGTTTGAATTTGTATCCCTCCGGAAGCGGAGCCATTATGAGGCATGCGAATTTCGTAGGAAAAGGGTACAGAATCAAAATTTCCTCTGCAGGGATTGAAGTGGAGTCTCCTGGTGTTCTCACTGCAGTTGTCATCGAACTGAACGAAGATCGAGGACCTTTCTCCAAAATCACCAGATTAGGTTGGCAGGTATGGCATTCACGAAAAACTTTTCTACATGCTGCTTAAGGTAGACATTTTCAAACATGCAGTTTCAGTTCCAGTTCGAATTTCAGTCATGGTTTCAGTCGTGGTAATCGCAAAGCAATTTTTAAGATTGGAACGCATACCCAAATCTAAAGGATGGTGCTAAAATATCTCCCCCCCCCCTATCTCCAAACGTAACTAGCAGAATTTGATTTAAAAAATAAAAAGTTGTCCTTCATTCCTTATCATCACACATGTGCAAAATTAAAACTTTGCGTTACCACCGCGTACATTCAAAATTGTCCTGGCTAAGATTGCAACAAATTTCGGAACAGATAAACATCATCTTTCAAAGTGTCCCAATTTCCACACTATCAACTATGTATAATGTGGGT